ATTTGACTCCCGACTCCAGATCATTAATGAAGATGTTAAAGAGTACTGAGCTCTGAAGGACTCCACTGCTCACCCTGTGCCACACTGATTTGGACCCGTCAACTAGTACTCTTTGAGTCCGACCTTGTAGCCAGTTATCTAGCCATCGGACCATAAGATGATTAAGGCCACAGTTCCCCAGCTTAGCCATGACGACATCGTAGGGAACTAGGTTAAAAGCTTTCTTAAAATCCAGATACATGACATCCGCGTCATCTCCCTTGTCCAGGGCTCATGTCACCTGGTCATAGAAGATGAGGTTGGTCAGGCAAGACCTGCCACTCACAAAGCCGTGTTGGCCAGCCTTCAGAAGCTTACCTTCTGTTAGTCTGGTGTTGATGGATCCCTTGACAATTTTCTCTAAGGTTTTTCCAGGGATGGACATCAGACTGATTCGTTTATAATTCCCTGGGTTATCCCTCCTCCCTTTCTTGAAGATAGGGAGGACCATGTTGGCCCTTTTCCAGTCTTTTGGGACCTTGCCCAAGCACCATGAATTTTCGACTATCTTTGCCAATGGGGGTGCAATGATGCCTGCCAGCACTTTCAAGACTCTTGGGTGCATTCTGTCAGGGCCCATGGATTTGTGAATGTCCTGGTTCTCAAGGTGTTCCTTCACCTGATCCACATCAATTTTGGGCCTGCCACCCACTCCTAGGCTGGTTCATGTCCTTTCTGACAGTGTGATCCCCTTGGGAGGATGAAAAACCGATGCAAAAAAATCATTTAGGAGACTGGCTTTTTCTTGGGCAGCAGATGTCAGCTGCCCCATTTGATCCCACAGTGGCCCAATGCTATCTTTATTCTTTTTTTGACTTCCCACATATCTGAAGAAGGACTTTTTGTTGTCCTTGATACACGAAGCTAGCCTGAGTTTGGTTTGTGCCTTGGCTTTTCTGGACCGCTCCCTACAGGTATAGGCGAGTGCTGAGTAGTCCTCTTTGCTGATACTTCCCATTTTCCAACTGGAGTAGGCTTCTCTTTTGAGTTTAATGAGGTCCAACTGTTCCTTGTTCAGCCAAGGGGTTTCCTTGCCCATTGATTACATTTCAGGTTAGATGGAATGGCTTTCCCCTGTGCCTCAAGGATTATGTTCTTGAGAGATGACCATTCCTCATGTACTCCCTTATCTAGGGGGATATGGCCCCTAATTTCCTGACTTACCAAATCTCTGAGTTTGTGAAAGTCAGCCTTCCCAAAGTTAAGGATTTCAGTTTAACTGAGGGATTTGCCTGCTCTTTGGTGAACTGAGAAGGTGACCAAATCATGGTCATTGTCACCAAGCTTCCTCTCGATCCTGAGGTTGCTCACTAGGTCTTCCCCTTCGGCCACAACCAGATCGAACAATGCCTCTCCCCAAGTTAGCCCACAGACTTCCTGTGTTAGGTAGAGGTCATCAATGTAAGCAAGAAAGCTGTGTGACCTATCTCATTTGGCCATGCACTCATCCCAAGAGATGTCAGGGAAGTTGAAGTCCCCCACGACAATCATGCATCGAGAGTACGCAACCTTGACCAGTTCCATACTGAAGTCGTAACCAAGTTTTTCCTCTTGGTGGGGAGGTCTACAGTAGACTCCCACAAGTATGTCACCCTCCCCATGTGCTCCCTGTATTTTGACCCAGAGGGTCTCAAGATGCCCTTCCTGGTTAGAAAACTTAATTTGGAGGGAAATGAACTGATCCTTGACATAAAGAGCAAGACTCCCACCCTTTTTCCCAAGACAGTCTCTCCTATATAAGGTATAATCCTCCAAAGCAACAGACCAATCATAGATAGAGTCCCACCAGCTCTCTGTTATCCCTACAAGATCATAGTCATTTTCACATATGAGAAGGGCCAGTTCCTTTTGCTTGTTTCCCAAGCTCCGGGCATTTGTGTATAGGCAGTTGAGTCTGCCATGAGAAGCCCCAAGCTTCCCTATGGGGTGAGGTGGGACCTTTCCTTGGGCTTTCATTAGAGCAGGTTCCCTTGGGCTGCCCAAGTTATTGGTAATGCATAACCTGGGATAGAACGGTTAATAGACCGTCCGTCCCCCCGCGGTCTTACTTTAAAGCCCTGTCAAGAAGGTCAGCCATTCTGGCCAAGAAGAGCTTCTTCCCGTTCCAGGTGAGGTGGAGGCCATCACTTCCTAACAGTCCACTCTCTCTGAAGTGCAGACCGTGGTCAAAGAAGCCAAACTCCTCGTGATGGCACCATCGCCGGAGTCTTCGATTCACCTCACCAATGCACCTTTCCCTCCAGATCCCATATCTTGCGACTGGGAGGATTGTTGAAAAAACTATCTGAGCCTCCAGAGCCCTGAGCCCAGCCCCCAGAGCCCTGTAGTCACACATGACCTGGCCCAGACTGCTCCATGCCATATCACATGTGCCCACATGGATGAGTAGCATGGGGCGGTGGTTGGAGGGCCGGGCACATTTGGGGATCCTCTTCGTCACATCACAGACATGAGCTCCAGGCAAGCAGCAGACCTCATGGGCTAAGGGGTCAGGGCAACAGATTGCTCCCTCTGCCCCGCTAAGAAGGGAGTCACCCACCGCGATAACTCTGCGCCTTCTTGTGGGTGCAGGTGCTGGTGGCCCTCCATCCTCACATGCTGGAGCCAGCAGTATGGCTGGCTCAGTTGATGTGAGGGGTGCAAATCTCACCCCCTGTTGGTGAGATTGGCCATGGGGGACCCACTTCCCTGGTCACTGACGGTACACATGCCCCACCACTGCCGCGGGGGCTGGGGCCAGGGGGGGCTGCGCCACCTCCCCGCTGGGCCCAGGCTGCACCGCCGCTGCCTGTAACATCAGGAGTCCCTGAAGGGCAGCTGTGGTGGCAGCGGCGGCACCCCTGGGCGAGAAGGAGATGGAGGGCGAGGCCCGCCACGGCCCCCCAGCCTGCCCTGCCGCCACCGGGGCCAGTGGAGAGGTGCTGCTTGGCTTGGAGTCCTCGCCCGGGGGTGTGTGGAATACAAGGGGGTGCAGGGAATAATCGGGTGTGGGGTATGCATCAACTATTTTTCAAAAACGCAATTTTCCGCAGGTTATACATGGGTGCAGGTTATACCCGTGTGCGGGGTATATACATGAAAATATGGTATGTGTTTCTTAAACCTGTTACTGAAAGCTTTGGGAACAACCCTCATGCACAACTACCAGGCATACAAAGAAAGTGCTACTCAGTTCTGGGCTGGAGCATGCTTCATAGTTTCATACTTGATGTGTGGATTTTCAGGGAATTTAGCTGCGAAGTTCCAGAAAGTCTACGGGGCATACGTAAAATCTGCAGTTTTTCAAAGACTTCTTACTTGACACACGTTGGTAAGGTTCTCATTCAGCTTTCAACAGACATGTAACTGACTGTCATGTTATTCTTGCTGCAAAATAAGGAGGCACTAAAGCTGTTCAAAGGCAAGGTCACCAGAACTTTTTAACAAAGAAAAGAAAGGCATTCTTCACTAACCACTTTCCCAGAAGTGACAAGAACTGTTTTGGCTGAAATAAAAAAGAGCCTGAAACAAAAAGCTGATGTAGAAAATTTCTATCTTAACCATTAAACTTTGGCAAAGTTATAAACAACTCAATGTGCGGTCTTAGACTGGAAAGTGTTGGGACATGTCAAGCAACTTAATTACAGACTATGCTCCCAGACCCACCAATAATTGTTAATAATGCATTATTCATATAGATATTATAAACCAAACTTTTGTTTTTTCTGTCTCAAAACCCAAAAAGAAGGGCATGGCCAATCAAGTTGAAAGATGGTTAATTTGAAATTGTTAAAAGAAAGCAAAAGCACTTTTCATATTGCATGCAATTAGAAGTTGTTGCAACTAGAAGTTATTGGAGTTGAGGACTTAGCAATATTCAAATAACATTTATATGGATAACAAGAGTATCCTGAGCTACACCACTAAATACTAATAAAATGTAAACTCAACCTCCTGCTTCAGGTATTAGGCCAATCTCTAACTATTAGGCATTAGCAAGAAACTTCCCTAGAAATGATTATCCCATATCTACCTCCCACGGGGTTTCTTGCTTCTCTGAAGCAGTTGTTATTGAGATGTAGACATATCAGTTGTTATTGGCCAAAGTCAAGGATAGGGTATTGGACCATCACAACTGGGCCGATCTGAGCTAGAGTTCCCTATTCTACAAACTTCCAGCTTATATCCAGATATTTGTTTTTTTTCTTGACACTGTTCATCTCTAGGGCCACAGTGAGAATCTTAAGGGTTATAGCTTAAATACAACTGTGAGGGGGGACGCTGTGCTGGCTATGATACAGCGACTCACTAGGGCACACTGTGTTCTCTCTGTCAGGAAAAATGCCCCATTTTAGCCCTAGTACTGCAAGAATTGCTATGGGTTACTCAGCAGGGGATGTTTTCCCTTTGGAATGAGGATTTGTCCTAGAGCTCCAGCATGAGCTCTGGGAGATGTAACTAGAGATGTAAAACATTTTGTTATTGACTTCTTCAAGGCATCAAAAATGCTCTGTCATATGAGTTAAGGTATACATCCCAGAACATTGGTCAAATTCTCATCTTATTCTACTCTTCCTTCCCTAATTTTTTTCCTGAAACTTCAACTGAAGATGGGATTCCTCTAAATACCTTGTCCTAAATCATTGTGTAACATTGCCGTTGGGCTGTTAAACAGTCCCTTCTTTAGCATCTGATGACGGAAGCTCCTGCTTATGAAAGCTCATGCATTTCTGATTTAGTTAGTCTATAAGGTACAAATGTACGCTACTTTCTGCCTGACTTCAGGCTAACATGGCAACTATTGTTAAATAGTTGCCATGGCCAATCCCAGGGAAAGTTGCCACGTAGCACAATGGTTCAAGGGAGATAAGTAGAAAGAATATGACAGAAACTTTAGAATATATCATTACTGATATTTTTTTTCTCCCTTTCTCCACGTTTCCTCTTTCCCCGTCCCATCCTCTCCCCTCCCTGGTGCTCAGGCCCAGAACTCCATTAGTCGCCTGGAGGGCTTACAAGACCTGGTGCAGCTCACAACCCTGCATCTGCGTGACAACCAGCTGGTCACCCTGGATGGCTTTTCTAGCAACATGAAGTGTCTGCAGTACCTCAATCTGAGGTTGGTTCTCCCCAAGTCAGCTTTGGCCCCACAGGCCTTTTGGGGATGCTGGGATACACATTTCAGTCTATTCTCCCCAAAACGTGCCCAGCGTAACTGCCTTTAGTCCATACCAGCCCCCTGTAGCAGGTGAGGCTGCTCTGGTTGATATAGCCTCTGCTGGTCTCAGAGAGGCTCCAGAACTTGCAGCCTCTCTGAGTTCTAGTACTTTGGTTCCTGGAGCAGCCCTTTGGGACACTGTTTGCTATTTTGTTCCTTGAGGGAAACCTGTTCCTAGTCCTGTATCTTGTGCTGGTACCTTGCATCCCTTGCTGAAATCCCTTTTAGTCCTTCTCTTCTCACCCCTTCAACGAACTGTTGGGGAATGCAAAGGGGAGACAACTGATCCAGCGAGCCCAAGGTGGTGATAGTGAAGTGACCTCAGCTGCTGGCTTCAGCCAGGTGTCCCCTCACTGGAACAGTCCCACTCTTACTGGAGCTCTCCATAATCAGCCCTGCTCTCTCCCTGCTGCAGGGGGAATGGGATCACTGGGCTGCAGGAAGTGGCCAAGCTGCAGGTCCTACCTATGCTGCGGGCACTGGTGCTGTTAGACAACCCTTGTGCAGATGAGGGCGATTACCGGCTAGAAATCCTGGTCCTGCTCTCACACCTGGAGCGCCTCGACAAGGACTTCTACGAGCAAGAAGAGCGGATGGAGGCAGAGGAACTTCGACAGCATCGCCAGGAGGAGGAGCAGGTGGGAGCAGCGCAGGGCAAGAACGAGCATCTAGGGAAGGAGAGGAGCTGGCGAGCTTGGGGGCCTCTCATGTGAGATTAGGGGAACTGAGCCCAAAACAGAGCTCAAGGGAGAGCATGGCATGCTGCCTTCCTTAGAGCTCCTGAGTCTGTTTACCAGTTATTTCCCATCCTTGCAGCAGGGTGCTGGCAGTGCCCATGCCCCCCGCTTTACCTGTGGCAGGCTAGGGTGACCTTGGTGCTTTGGAGCATGGTGCCATGTACTTGCGTGAGGGGCCTGCTAGTGATTAAGTCCGAACAGGTTAGACCAGGGGTGTCCATCGCATCTGGCCCCACCAGCTGGGCCGGCCCAAACCAGTAGCTGAGGCTGCAGCGCGGTCACCGCATCACGGAGCCCTTGGCATCAGCCGGGTGTCACCGCCTGCCCCGGGCGCAAACCTCGAGGAGACAAGAGGGCTGGGGCGGGCACCCCTCTGACCTTCTGCCCGTCTGCCAGGACACGGAGGAGTCCGGCCCCGGGGAGCCCAACTGAGCCGAGAAGCCCTGCGGCCAGCGCCCG